ATTAACTAATCCATTTGGAATTGACTTTTGTACAGGGTGAGAGATACAGGTTCCTGCAAGTCTCTTCTCCTGTGTATGATTTTAGGTCTTTGGTTTTTAAAAAAAGAACAGAAAAGAAAGAGAGAGAGAAAGAGAGAAGGAGAGAAAGATGGCTGTGTGGGTTTTGTTCTTGGGTCTTCTATTGTGTTACATTTGATCTTTAGAGCTATTTTTTGTGCTAGCATCAAGCTGTTTTTGTTACTATGGCTCTGTAGTGAAATTTGACATGTACTAGTATGGTGCTTCCCAGCAATTGCTTTTGCAAGTCTAGTCTTTTATTGTTCCATATGAATTTTTGGATTGATTTTTTTTTGTGAATAATAACATGGGGCTATGGATATTACACTGAATCTGTAAATTGCTTTTGGCAGTATGGCTGTTTTCACTTTCATTCTATAGTGGCTGTTTTTCTACATGATTAAAATTTTCATAGATTCTAATTTGTTCCCTAATCCATTATAAAAGTTTTAAAATAAACTTTCATGATAGGGAGTTTAAATAAAAGGGCTGTGTACTTAACATTTCCAAATACATAATACTGAGGAAGTGGAACCAGTTCATGTTTGTCTATTATATGTGCAAATCTTCCCCAAGCTCAGGTGGATAAATGAGTCTGGATAAGCCAGCCAGTGGAAGAGTGCCTCATATGTTATAGGTTCTGTGTGTGTGTGTGTGTATTTGTATTTGATGTGACTATGCAATCAAATATTACTTTATTATGAAATTTTATTCTCCAGTATAAAAAAAGTTTATGTGTTTAAGGGAGTATAAAACTCTCAGATTGTTTTAAAGCTTTGATTTCTATAATACTTTTTTGTTTTTGGTCATGAGGCTTGAACTTAGGACCTAGGTGCTGTCCTTGAGCTTTTTCGCTCAAGGCTAGCACTCTACCACTTTGAGCCACAGCTCTACTTTTGGTTTTTGAGTGGTTAATTGGAGATAAGAGTCTGACAGGTTCTTTGTTGCCTGTGCTAGTTTTGAACCATGATCTTCAGATCTCAGCCTCCTGAGTAGCTAGGATTACTGGCATAAGCCACTGGCACCCGGTTAATAGGTACTTTTTAATAGGAAATTATATGTATGTATATAGTCCTGAGATTTGAATTTAGGACCTTGTGCTTGCTAGGCAGGGGTTCTCTTGCTGAGTTTTTATGACTTTCATTTTATTGTATTGGTTTATTGGGAGGACACTTGGACTGCAGACTGCCTGTTTTAGTTAGGCATCCCATTGTAGCTACAATGACAGGCATTTATCACCATGCCCAGCTTCTTGAGTTGTGTCCTTTATTGTCTGGGCTGTCTTGGAACTGTGATTCTTCTGGTCTCAGCCTCCCTTATAGTGTCCAGGTATTGCTTGAGAAGAAGGGTTAAGGGATCTGGGTGTATGACCAGCTGAGCTTAAACTGCTTTCAAACTGAACTCCAGAACTCAAGGAATTGGCTGAAAATTTTAATGCTGCATCTTATTTTCTTAACCTCTCTGGAGGCTTGATTTTTAAAAAACAAGTCAAGCAAGTTTGAGCTATTGTTTTGAATTACTTTGAATTAATAAAAAAGTATCTGAATTTATTACAAACATATGCCCTTGCATCTCAAGTTCACCTCATTTCTGAAAAATGATCTTCCTTGGTTGCCCAAAAAAATTACCTTTTTAATGCCCATTTAAAGAGATATCATTTATATGTCAACTACTGTCCCCAGAGAGAGACACATGAATGTACTGAAAGAACCTCAAGAAACCTAAATCCAAATCTTTGTATTGCCAGAACTAGTTATTCAGCAACAGCAAATAACTTCCCCATTTGTCAGTTTACTTTTCCTTTTAAACCTCCTTTTACAAATGAGGATAAGATGTATTTCATAGGATGTGCTGGTGCTAAATACCACAAATTTGAAGAGTCATAAATGATTAGGGCCAAATTCCAAAGTTCTTTTGATATTCAGTGATTGTTACATATTTACATATGGAATTGATTCTCTTTACTTCGGATTTTCCTCTTACACTAGTAATTCCTGTTGAAGTCTTCAAGTGTGGTGGTTTGATTTGTTTTTTTTTTTTAATTTTTAATAATTTCCTTTATATCTCAGGACTTGCTCTCTGCTTTGCTTTTGTCTAGCTTACTTGAACTGCTGCTTGAGTGGTGGCAGTTCTGAATACACAAGTCCCAAATTCATTTAGTACCACTACAGTCAAAGACATTTTAGAAGATGAAAAAGTAGCTGAATTCCTGTGACTGTTGGGCAGTAGATGAATGTTGTAATTGCTATTATTAGGTAGCAACTTGAAGCTGAGTATTAGTTTATGTTCATCAATTTGTCTGTCCTGTACTATAGTCCTCATCTCTATTCTCATATTGTTATTTAGTATTTTATTTGTGTTTAAAACTCTAAAGTAGTTACCATTCTAACACCTAGATTATTTTAAATTCACTATTACTGCTTTCTTTACTTGTCAGTGCTCCTTTAACTATACCTTACTTTCCTTAGTTTTCTTTTCCTTTTTTCTGTGGAATCTTTAAAGCAATAATTTTTTCCCCTGAGGGTATGTATGGGTGGTAAATCTTTTTCTCTGGTTATCAGTGTTTTATCTTTACTCTTGAATTACTGTATAGCTAGGTAATTTAGATTAATAGTTATTTCCTTATTATTTGATATTATCCCAGTACCTTCTTCCTGTTACTATTGATGAGATTTTTGGCCCTTAGTCTTTGCCTGAAGTTTCTCTCCTATGTTTCTGGATCCTCTGAAGATTGATGTTTTCAACAGATCTGGAAAATATTCCTTATCTCTTTGAATATTGCTGTTCTTCTCCTTGAAATCATATTGGACATATGTTGCAATAAATACTCTCCTTTCCATGTTTCTTAAGTTCTGTTTTACATGTTTCATGTCTTTGTGCTACTTTTTTGAATAATTTCTTCTTTTTTACCCATGTGTTTTCTCTTTCTCCTGTAAGCTGTGTTGAATTGTCTATTTTACCCATCCATTGAGGGTTTTTTTGGGGGGGGTGGGGGTCCAGTCGTTGGGCCTGAACTCTGGGCCTGGTGTTGTCCCTCAGCTCTTCAGCTGAAGGCTAGCCCTCTACCACCGCCACTTCTGGCTTTTTTCTTTTTGCTTATGTGGTGCTGAGGAATCAAACTCAGGGCCTCAGGCATGCAAGGCAAGTGCTATACCACTGAGCCACCTTCCCAGCCCTCCATTGAGTTTTTATCTTAGCATAGTTATAGTGTTTAACATTAGTTTAATAGACTTCAGAATTCTTTTTCAAAAATTCTAGGTAGATTCCCCTACCTGTCCCAAATACACACTTCAGGACTTTAAATTGTCTTCTTACAGTTTTATAATTTGTACAGCTGTAGGTAGAGTAAGTGCTATGGTAAAGAATATTCTGAGCCAGGTGATGGTGGCTCACACCTGTAATCCTACCTACTTTGCTGAGATCTGTGGATCTCAGTTCAAAGCCAACACAGGCAGGAAAGTCTGTGAGACCCTTATCTCCAGTTGACTATCAGGAAACCAGAAGTAGTGCTGTGGCTCAAGTGGTAGAGAACTAGGCCTTGAGCTGAAGAGCACAGAGTTCAAACTCCATGACCGACCAAAAGAAAAAATAAATGTCTGGCCAAAGTCGTTAAAGATTGGGTATTAATTCTTCATTGGTAGTTGTATGATGTGATAAAAGCTATGCTTTAAGGTACATTTACAGCAGTGGAGTGATTGTTAGAATATAACTGATGTTTAAGCTTATAACAATTTTCAGGAAGCAGATGAAATGACTGAATATCCCTATGGAATAGCTTTTAAGATCATATTATAGTGGATACCACTTTCTCAGTAAGTGGTTAGTTCAATAGTTCTTGAAAGTTTTTTCTTTTAGTAAGAATACTAAATAATTTCCCCTTAAATTTTTTTTAGAGTATTACCCTGAGCTGACATTTTACAATTAGAAACAGCATTTTATCAAATTAGATTATTCTAAATTCTGTTTTTTTTTTTTTTTTCCACTCCTTTTCTCCCTTCTCTGTCTCCCATCTCTTTCTTTTTTTTTTTTTGGTCTGGTCGTGGGGCCCAAACTCTGGGCCTGGGCACTGTCCCTCAGCTCTTCAGCTCAAGGCAAGTGCTCTACCACTTGAGCCACAGCGCCACTTCCAGCCTTTTTTTTTTTTTTTGTTTATGTGGTGCTGAGGAATCCAACCCAGGGCCTCGGGCATACAAGGCAAGCGCTCTACCACTGAGCCACCTTCCCAGCTCTCCCATCTCTTTCTAACCTGTAACATTGGAGCTAGGGTCCCATACCTTGTGCTGAGTTGAGATACACTCCTAGACTGAGTATCCTTTTCAATAAATGTTTTAATTTGTCAGTTGGGAAACTCTTCAGTGTCATAAACAAATCTTTTTTTTCTGCTTTAAAGATTTAGTTACCTAAAACATTGTATATAGCCACTTGGAATCAACTATTTTTTCTCCATCTAAAACTAAAGAGTCTTCCAAATTTTGTGTTAATACCTTATTCCTTTTTTGGGGGGAGAGGGGTTGTAAAGTGGTCTAGGGATTGAACCTAGGGCCTTGAATACTAGTTTGTTCTTTTTCATGCTTATTTTTTATATTTAGGTTATAGAACTGCTTTTCTTTTACTTTTTCTTTTTTTTTGTCAATTGTGGGGCTTGAATTCAGGGCCTGGATGCTGTTCTGGAGCTTTTTCACTCAAGGCTAGTGGTCTACCGCTTTGGGCCACAGTTCCATTTCTGGTTTTCTGGTAGTTAATTGGAGCTAAGAGTTTCACAAAGTTGCCTGCCTGGGTTGGCTTTGAACTGTGATCCTCAGATCTTAGCCTCCTGAGCAGTTAGGATTCCAAGTGTGAGCCAACAGCTCCTTGTAGGTTATAAATTTCTGTAAATATTTTTAAATTTTTCTGACTCTTCTTTGGAAGCTTTTAAAAAAAATTGGTTTTTCTTTTTCATCTAGGTGACAAAACACGACCACCTTCCTCAAGCCCTTCCAGTATTATTCGTCGTACTTCTTCCTTGGATACACTTGCAGCTCCGTACCTTGCTGGGCACTGGCCTCGTGACAGTCATGGGCAAGCTGCACCTTGCATGAGGGACAAAGCTACACAGGTAGGTTTCTTACGACTATTCTTTTTTTTTGTTGTTGTTGGTTGTGGAGCTTGAACTCTGGGCCTGGGCGCTGTCCCTCAGCTCTTCAGCACAAGACTCGTGCTCTACCACTTGAGCCACAGTACCACTTCCGGTTTTCTGAGTGGTTTATTGGAGATAAGAGTCTCACAGACTTGCCTGCCTAGTCTGGCTTTGAACTGTGATCCTTAGATCTCAGCCTCCTGAGTAGCTAGGATTACAGGCATGACCCACCAGTACCCGGCTCATGACTCTTATTCTTAATGTTTTACTCTGAAGCCATTTCTCCTTAGTATTCTACTCTGTGTTCAAAATCTTGGAACACGGGACTGGGAGGGTAGCTCAGTGGTAGAGCGCTTGCCTTGCATGCCTGAGGCCCTAGGTTTGATTCCTCAGCACCACAAAAAAGGAAAAAGCCAGAAGTGGCGGTGTGGCTCAAGTGGTAGAGAGCTAATCTTGAGCTGAAGAGCTGAGGGACAGCTCTCAGTCCCAGAGTTCAGGCCCCATGACTGGACCCCCCAAAAAAAAACAAAAACAAAATCTTGAAACACTAATGTATATTAGGATTTTCTGAGAAGCTTGCTCCTGTAGTGGATACTCTGTAGTGGGTCTTGGTCAGGCTTTAATTCTCAAGATAATTCTGATTTGTGCAGATTGTTTGTAGACATACTTCTTTTTAAAAACTTATTCTTTATAAGCTAGTTTAGAGCATCACAATTTGGAGAGAGATTCTTACTGCAGTTTGAAGTCAGAGCCTTGTATTTGCCAGGTGGGTACTCTACCACTTACACTGTATCTCCAGGCCTTTTTGCTTTTGCTAATTTTTAAATAGAGTCTTACTTTTTGCCTGGATCAGCCAAGACCATGATCCAATCCTCTTATTTACCCTTTTCACATAGCTAGGATAACATGCACATCCTCATGTGCCCAACTTTTTATTGGTTAAAGTGAGGCCTAGGCTGGCCTTGAACTGCCTCCCAATCTCTGCCTCCCAAGCACCTAGGATTATAGGCATGAGTCACTATACCTAGCTTATCACACTATTTTTTTTAATCTAGAATTTGGACTTAAACATTTGAAACAGTAAGGATTCATTACCATACAAGTTTACACTTTCATGCCAAAAATCTTCATTTATTGGGAGACTATATAATACTGCTGATAGATTTTATAAATGTAAGTATCTCAGTGAAAGAACTCTGGGAATGAAGTTGATGTTTTTATATTTATGAAACTTTTTAATCAAAAGGATTTTAAGCCAGACATCTGTAATCCCAGCTATTCAGGAGGCAGAAATTTGAATTATCACAGTTTAAAGCCAGCCTGGACTGAATAGTCAGTGAGGTTTCCATCTTCTTAAGTGTAAAGGAGTAAGCTGGGTGCTGGTGGCTCACGCCTGTTATCCTAGCTACTCGGGAAGCTGAGATCTGAGCATCGAGGTTCACTCGGGCAGGAAAGTCTGTGAGACTCTTATCTCCAATAAACCACTAGAAAACCAGAAGTGGCGCTGTGGTTCAAGTGGTAGAGTGCTAGCCTTGAACTGAAGAGCTGAGGGACAGCACCCAGGCCCAGAGTTCAAGCCCCATGCCCACCAAAAAAAAAAAAAAAAGAGTAAAGGAGTAACAGTATATTTTAGAACTATTTATTGTTTTGATTGAGGTATACATTTCTGCAATACAGAATTAAAGAGGTACAGAAGGTTCTGGTAAAGAATCTTCTTTGAGATAGCTACTGATGGTCACTTTATTTTTCCAAAGATAATTTATTTACATTTTTTTCTAGCAGTCAGTTGCTAAATACACTATACTAAGCCTTGAGGTTTTTCATATAACAGTATATCTGGAAGTTACTTTATATCCGTACAGTTTCTTACTTATTTTTTAAAGCTGTGTAATATTTTGTTGTAAAAATATACTATAATTTATGCCAAGCCTGAATCCGATTTATGTACATTATCCAGTGAACAGTGCTGGACAAAATAATACAAATATGTCATTTTGCATAAAAAGACTATGTTTTGTCCATCTGCAAGAAAAATTATCAAGAAGGGTTGCAATGTCAAACGGTAACTTTGACACTAGTTGCCAGATCTCCCTCTATAAAGGCTGTACATTCACACAGCAATTTAGGAGAGTTTAATTATTATTAAAAGAATTTATATTATCAGTCTTGTTAATGTTTAACTTGTTTCACTCTTTTTTTGGGGGGAGGGGTCCGGTCGTGGGGCCTGAGCTCTGGGCCTGGGCGCTGTCCCTCAGCTCTTCAGCTCAATGCTAGCGCTCTACCACTTGAGCCATAGCGCCACTTCCAGCTTTTTTCTTTTTGCTTATGTGGTACTGAGGAATCGAACCCAGGGCCTCAGGCATGCAAGGCAAGCGCTCTACCACTGAGCCACCTTCCCAGCCCCATAACTTGTTTTACTCTTGTTATTGATGAGGGTGAACATACTTATTATGTGCTAAAAATTCATTTATTTTTGTTTCTGTTATACTATTCCATTCTTGGTTTGGTGTAGCTACTAAAGACATTTTGAGGCTGTTTAGATACACTTAAAGCAACAGTAGATGGGTGTAGAGATTAAGATTATGAGCTCTGGAGTCAATTTCTTTCTTGGCTTTCATAATTCCTAGGCTTGAGACAACTGGCAATTTTATCTAACCTCTCCACTGTCATTGTTTTCTTCTCGGTAAAACTTGTAGAACTTAATGTGTTGGATTCGATAATAACTCAGATGGAAATAGCTCTGTGCCTCAGAGCTAATCTTCAGTGAAAGAGCTCAGGTACAGTGCCCTGGCTTTGAATTCAAGCCCCACAACCGACCCAGAAAGAAAAAAAACGCTAATAACTAAGAAAACACAGAACAGAATAAGAACATTGAACAACGAATGTTCTTGTTACTCTCAAACATCTCTGTAGTTTATTTTTGTCAGTAAATGCTATATAGATTTGTGAAAATAATTTTTATTAGTAATAGAAATGAAAGAAATATACTAATATATTAATTATATTTAACTGGTGTTAGGAGAAGTTTGAGTAATTTGTTATATTTTAAATCTGTATTGGTATCTAGTTTTTCTGTAATGGAAATGTCTTTTATAGGGAAAATATGTAGCATACATTGTTACTGAGTTTTGTTGTTGTTGTTGTTAGTCATGGGGCTTGAACTCAGGGCCTGGGCTCTGTCCCTGAGCTCTTTTGCTCAAGGCTAGAGGTCTACTGCTTTAAGCTACAGAGCCATTTCAGTCTTCTGGTGGTTAATTTGAAATAAGAATCTGGCTGGACTGGCCACGATCCTCAGATTTTAGCCTCTTGAGTAGCTAGGATTACAGGCCTGAGGCACCAGTGCCTGGCTGTGTTTAAATATTTTCTGTTAAAATACCTTCCCTCTTTTTTCCATTATAGACAGAGAGTGCATGGGCTGAAGAATACTTGGAAAAGAAAAAAGGCTCTCACAAGCGCTCAGCATCCTGGGGCAGTACAGATCAACTTAAAGAGGTCAGGAAAAATGTTGCTTGGAAGTAGAAATTTAACCTTTTATTTAGTTAGTTATTAGCTCATTAAAGTGTGGTTGTCAACAATTTGTATTTTCTTTTTTAGACTTGAGAAACCTAGAGAAAAAGTTACTTTGTTGATTTGATAGAAGTTACTTTGTTGATTTTGAATAAGGCAATGTACTTGATTATGTAGGTTTTTCAGAAAAAAAGGATAGTCTATACCTATCAATACAATGTAAATATTGTATTTTTTAAACTATAGTGGTAAAATAAACTCACTTTTTTTTTTGCATATGATATGTTACTGAAATTTGGTAAGAGTTTAGCCAGGTAGGTTATGGCTTTATGCCAGTATTACCATTTTTTGTGCCTGTAGTGATATTCACATTTTACACATGCAGATATAAAATTTAGTCAAGGTAAGATAATGGGATGGTCATTAGGATTGTATTTGTTATTTAAAGATTATAGATGTGATTTATATCATGGCTTGACTTTAAGATAGTTTTTAAAGTTGTTGAAAGTTCTATGTTCAATAAAGAAATGTAAGTTGAAATAAAAATTGACTTATCATAAAGGCAGTAAGAGAATAATTACTGTTATTTTTGAATTCTTCCTGAGAGCTGTAATTTATTCTAAGTGCTTTTAAGACTTCATTTGTTTAGTACTTAGGGATCTTGAAGACAAAGAACAATGTTGGGATATAGTTTTGTTTCTCTTTAAAAGGAAGGTATTTATTCACTTGTAGGTATAAACATTATGTACAATGAATTGGATTTTGTGATACAGTTTAAAATTTATTAAGGCTGGTTTTTATTCTTACTAAGCAAGTATAAATATATATATATATTATATATATATATATTATATATATATATTAGTGGAAAACACTCCAGTGTACTTGTTTTGTCCTTTTTTTTAGATTGCAAAATTACGCCAGCAGTTGCAGAGAAGTAAGCACAGCAGTCGTCATCATCGAGATAAAGAAAGACAGTCTCCATTCCATGGCAACCATTCAGCTATTAACCAGTGTCAGGTAGGTGTTGAGTTACTACAAAAATACAGAAAAATAATTTGATTTTTTTTTTTTTAGCCAGTTGATTAGTAGGTAATTGTTTATAACTAAAACATCCAAAAGTACATTTAAACTCTATCCCCAATAAACCAGCAAAAAGCCAGGAGGAGAAATGTGGTTCAAGTGGTAGCATACCAATCTTGAACAAAAAACTAAAGAAGCACTTGAGGTCATTAGTTCAAGCTGTAATACTAGCATAAAACAAAACAAAATAAAAACTGAATCACAGCCTTCCTAAAACATACATACATAGTTGGCAAAATAGTATTTTCTTTTAGTGACCTTAAATAGGACTTCCAGGAGACATACCTAATTTGTTTGTATTATGTGTGTGTGCTTATCCTGGGGCTTGAACTCAGGGCCTGGGTGCTGTCCCTGAGCCTACCACTTGAGCCACAGATCTACTTCCAGCTTTTTGATGGTTAATTGGAGGTAAGAATCTCACAGACTTTCTTGCCCTGAACTAGCATTGAACCATGATCCTGTGATCTTAGCCTCTTGAGTAGCTAGGATTACAGGTGTGAGCCTCTAAGGCCCAACTAATCATATGTTCTAAACCATATTTTGACCTTTGATTAGATTAATACATTGTTGGAGGCAGGAGAATTTAGAGTCATAAGCATTGGCTGTGGACTACACTTGATAATTAAATTTCTTTTTTTTTTGCGGGGGGGGGGGTCCGGTCGTGGGGCCTGAACTCTGGGCTTGGGTGCTGTCCCTCAGCTCTTCAGTTAAAGGCTAGCACTCTACCACTTGAGCCACAGCGCTACTTCTGGCTTTTTGTTTTCTGCTTATGTGGTGCTGAGGAATTGAACCCAGGGCCTCATGCATGCAAGGCAAGTGCTCTACCACTGAGCTACCTTCCCAGCCCAAATTTCAGTTTTTGAAAGTAAGGTTTTATTAAAGTATAGCCACTCATTCTTGTTTTGGTCGGTTGTGGGGCTTGAACTCTGGGCTTCAGCACTGTCCCTGAGCTCTTCAGCTCAAAGCTGTGCTCTACCACCTGGAGCCACAGTGCCACTTCTGTTTTTCTGGTAGTTAATTGGAGATAAGAGTCTCAGGGACTTTCCTGCCTAGGCTGGCTTTGAACCACAGTGGTCAGATCCCAGCCTCCTGAGTAGGTAGGATTACAGGAGTGAGCCACCAACCCCTCTTACTCTTTTTTTTTTTTAATTTTTTTTATTTTTGGGTCCACTTGTGGGGCCTGAACTCTGGGCCTGGGTGCTGTCCCTCAGCTCTTCAGCTCAAGGCTAGCACTCTACCGCTTGAGCCACAGCGCCACTTTTGGCTTTTTTCTTTTTGCTTATGTAGTGCTGAGGAATCAAACCCAGGGCCTCAGGCATGCAAGGCAAGCACTCTACCACTGAGCCACCTTCCCAGCCCCCCTCTTACTCTTTATTTTTATCTTTGGCTCCTTTCCTGGTGCAATGATATTGTTGAATAGTTGTGATAGGGATGATGGTTGAATAGTTGTGATAGCTGTGATAGCGCTGGTGACTGGTGGCCCAGGCCTGCAATCCTAGCTACTCAGGAAGCTGAGATCTGAGGATCAGTACTTGAAGCTTGCCCGTGCAGAAAACTCTTGAGGCTTTTATCTCCAATAAACTACTGAAAAGTGCCAGAAGTGGCACTGTGGTTCAAGTGGTAAAGTGCTCCGTGAGCAAAAGAAGCTCAGGGACAGCTCCCACACCCAGAGTTCAAGTCTCAGGACTGGCCAAAAATTTTTTTTAAAAATTAAAAAATATATATATATACATTTGTGATAGAGACTCAGTTTTGTCCTATCTTATTGATTCTTGAAACAGTAAGAATTTATACTGATTTATAGTTTGGTTGTAGTCTCATGTAGTTATTTCCATATTACAGGATATTGAATTCCGGGTCTGGGGAGCTATCCTTGAACTTTTTTTTCTCAAGACTCATGCTCTACTGTGCTTGAATCATAGCTTCACTTCATCTTTTTTGGTGCTTAAGTGGAGGAAAATAAGAGTCTCTCAGACTTTCCTTCCTGAGCTACTTTGAATCAGATCTCAGATTTTCTGAGTAGCTAAGAATTACGGGAATAAGCCACTGGCATCCAGCATATATATTTTAGATATTTTAATCTAAAAAATGGATTAGACACTAAATACATTTCAAAATGGCTTTATATGTACAGAAATTAAAATTCCAAACAAAATTAAACTTAACAAAAAAAGTTTGCATGGACTAATAATGATAAAAATTGGAATATTAATTTAAAAAACAACAAAACCACCTGTTCACCCTCAAGGGTGGAGACCCAGATATAGGTAGATAAATAGATATAGATATATAATTTTATTTTATTTGGTCAGTCATAGGGCTTGAATTCTGGGCCTGGGTGCTGTCCCTCAGCATTTCAGCTCAAGGCAAGTGCTCTACTGCTTGAGCTACAGCACCAGTTTCGGTATTCCAGTAGTCTGGTGGTTAGTTGGAGATTAGAGCCTCATGGATCTTCTTGTTTGGGCTGACTTAGAACCACAATCCTCAGATCTCAGCCTCCTGAGTAGCTAGGATAACAAACATGAGCCACTGGTACCTGGTTGAGACCCAGATATTTTTACAGGTGACTCTCCCATCTTCTCCCTCTAATTTATCCATAAATAATTTGCATTTATTTCTAAAAAAAATACTCTCTTTGATCCCAGTCCATATTTTTACTTCAAGTACAGTTAGGGTTAAGATTGAACTTGGTGTGGTAAGTTGTAAGGTTTAAGCTTCTGAAGTGTGTGTGTTTTCTGTACTAGGGATTGAATTTAAGGCCTGAAGCTTATTAGGCAGGTACTCTGCCATCTAAGCCTCTTGTTTTGAGATAGGGTCTTGTGTTTTTTGCCCAGAGTGGCCTGGACTGTGACCTATTTATACTTCCTTTGTAGCTTTGGGGACAGGCCTGTATCACCAGTACCCCAGCTTTTTTGGTTAAGATGGGAATCTCAAGAACATTTTTCTCTTGGACTTTCTTTGAACCAGAATCCTCCTGATTTCTGCCTCTTGAACAGCTAGGATTATAGGCACCAGCCACCACTCCCAGCTTGAAGTGATTTAAAAATTTTTTCTTCATTAGCACCAGCAATTAGGCAACTATTGCGATGCTCTTGCATGCCTGTAATCCCAGCCTTTAGGAAATTGTGGCATGAGAAGGGATAACTCAGGAGTAGCCTGGGCTACATAATGAGCACCAGTTGATTGTGCTTGTAAATGTAGATATTCAGGAGGCTGAGATCTTGATATCTCCAGTTAACTACCAAAAAGCTGGAAGTAGAGCTATGGCTCAAATAGTAGAACATCAATCAGTCTTGAGAGAAAAAAAAAGACCATGCCTAGGGCCAAGTTCAACACATGTGTGTACACACACACACATACAATCAGAATTAATCATTCAGCCAGTGTCTCATGCCTATAATCCTAGCTACTCACGAGGCTGAGATCTGAGTATCACAGTTCAAAGCCAGCCAAGACAGGAAAGTCTATGAGACTCTTATCTGCAGTTAACCACCAGAAAACTGGAAGTGTAGCTGTGGTTCAAAATTGTAGAGCCTTGAGCAGAATGAAGCTTGGGGACAGTGTCCAGGCCCAGAGTTCAAGCCCCAGGACTGGCAAAGAAAAAAAGAAAAATCGGCAGTTGCAAAGTAGTAAAAATATCCAAAATTTTATCTTTCCCCCCCTCTACTCTGCTGGTAAGGATTGAACCCAGGCCTTGAGAATGTTAAATTTTCTGTCATTGAGCTGCACTCACAATTTTTTCCCTTCAAAGTTTACTCAATGGAAATTGGTGAAATTTGCATGAAATTCATACTTACTTTAAAAAAATATCCCTTTGCAGAGAAGTTAAATAGAAGAAGATAAAGATGAATTTGATCAGATTTGAATTTTGTACACTTGATGCATGAAGCATCTTGACTGCTTGATTTGTTTTTTGTTTAGTAACAGCCAACCATAAATTAGGCAAATACACATCATGACAATTAGCTCAGTGGTATTTATGTTCAACTGAAACTATCAGGGTGTAAACATGAAAATCGTATATTTAGTTATTGGCATGGCTTTGTTTAAATAGATTGTCTTTTTAGTTAAAGTACCACAAATGATGCAAATGTATTGTTGAAGCCACTCATGTGTGAGCACATTTATTGAATACCTACTCTGTGACTGATTACTATACTTCTTATTAGGGAAGTTTTCAAGGAAATATTTTTCATGTCCCAAACAAATCCAATCTTAGAGACATATAAGTAAATAGTTAATTATGATACTGTGTAATGATAAGAATGGTTCAGAGTACAATTCCACAGTATTTACTCTTAAACCGATGATGGGGCCAACTAGAAAAACTTCTCAGAGAAAATGCTGTCTACTTGATCCCTGCTGTCAACTAGTCTTCTAGAGGTGAATGAAATCATGGCCTCCATTGTGGGTAGTAATAAATGACTTGGTTAGAGAAATAAATACCATGCAAATACATTGGAACGTCATCCTGAGACACCAGAAAACTATTTCTGAAATTGACACAGGGTCTGAGACATATTTTATAATAGTTATTATGAGTTCAGAGTAATTAGAAGAGGACAAGTTTAGAATTAGTAATCCAAGTAAGAAATAATAATAACCTCAAGTTAAGTAGAAGCTTGAAACTGGTAAGAATAGATAAACGTGATATTTTACAAGGTAATAATTGCAAAGTTGAACTCCATTGAAAGTGAACTCTGTTGTACTACTTCAGCTGATGAAGGTAGTACTAAAGTTGAGAGGCAAGCACTCTATTTAACACTTATGAGTATTACTGGCATTTTAGTACTATATTTAAGGTTTGCATTGTTATTTCCATTTTACATACTAGGAAACTGAGAAGGACTTTTTCAGTCATACAAAACAGAGCTAGGATACTAGCATGCATTCTGACCTCAGGTTTTGAGACTTTACACTTTATGATAGCTGATGTT